TAGTGTGGAGGAGTTTCATAATTGTTGATGTTCAAATATTGTCAAAGTTTCTAATGTATATGTATGAGTGTTTTATATTTTGTCTTTGTGACTTTACCTACAGGTACACACTATTGTAGCATTGTATTCATTTGTAAACATTTCTCCGTTTGACTAGTCTGATAAGTTTTGTACATTGTGTATGAGCTATACCTTGTATAATCTCTGATTGATGAATGAATTCATTTTATCTATCTATCTAATAAGAAATTTCTTCCGCTATATATTGGATCCGTCATCTTGAATTTTCCAAGTTTGACGAAACAATCATTATCTCCATCCATGGAAAACCCCAGATACCTCCCAATTTTGAATAGAATCGGATCATAATTACTAAACTTGTTCGTTATATGATCTTTCTCAACAAGTAAATACCTATTATCAAAATTTTGAAAGATTTTCTGTAGCGCCCATGGTTGTGACGTGACAGCAGTGTCAGGGATGCCAGTAGACAAAACTAAAGCCTCTAGATCATTAAAAAAGAATGCAGCTATGATCTTTCCGAACCCTGTTGAGATGACTTTAACGTCAATCTCCATCAAGGGACCGCCTATTGAATACTTGCTCAACTGATAGAAGCTATTTGAAATAATGCATTATTTATCACCCACAAACTCACCGATGAAATGAAACATTTTCAGTATCATGATTCGTGGAATCCTTACACCAAAGAAAGCTACACTGAGAAGCAGCTACACTAGGAAGCAGCTCGGTAACTGCACATGCCACTAGAGGTTGCCCCCAAGGTGGGGTACTGTCTCCTCTCTTATGGTCTATAGTTGTCGATAACCTACTCAACAAACTAAGCACCGCTGGCTTCGATATTCAAGGCTTTGCGGATGACATTGTCATAATAATAAGAGGCAAGCATGATAGGATTTTATCGAACCTAATGCAGACTGCTGAAAGACTCGTGCTTTCAGGAGGGCTTGAATGTCAACACAAGCAACACAGTCATCGTTCCATTCACCAAGAAAGGAAAGATCAATTTAAAGGAACCCATTATGGATGGGGCGCCTATCAATTTATCCGAAGAGGTCAAATATCTAGGAGTAATTCTAGACAAAAAACTCACGTGGAACCAACACTTGACCAGAATCGTCAATAGGGCAATTTCAGCTCTCTGTATATGCCGAGAGATGTTTGGCCAAACGTGGGGTCTTAAACCAAATGTGATCTGCTGGTCTTATCTCACGGTGGTCAGACCCATGGTCACATACACTTCTCTAGTGTGGTGGACCAAAGGTGAGGATGAAACAGCACAACTTGAGCTGCAAAAAATCTAGAGACCCGCCTGTCTTGGGATCACAGGGGCTTTGCGTACGTGCCCTACTCCAGCAATGGAAGCTATGCTTGACCTACTACCCTTGCATATTTTTATCAAGAGAACTGCAGCTCTCAGTGCATACAGACTGAACTCCACTGAATTGGCCAGACCAGGTGATGTCACTGGTCACATGGTCATTCTACGAGAAGTACTAATGGAATTCGCAACCAAATCATCGGACGGTTATGGTTATAAAAAGCTGCCCTAGGTACGGTTCCGCTGAGCCTTAGCTGGACAGAGGGTCCCTTGTTTGGTACACCGATGGTTCGAAAATGAAGGAAGGGGTAGGCGCGGGTGTATATGGACTCGGATGTGGGCTATCTGAAGCCTCAGGTTACTTCCCCACTATCTTCCAAGCTGAAATACATGCCATCAACCTTTGCGCCCGAAGGTTCCTCAGCAAAGGTCTGAGGAGTGCCAACATATATATCTGATCAGACAGCCAAGCCGCACTAAAAGCCCCAAAATCATTCGTTTTCACATCAAAGATCACAACATGGAACTGCTTTGAAACACTCATGCAACTAAGAAAGGACAACAAAATCACACTTATGTGGGTTCCAGGGCATGAAGGAATCAAAGAAAATGAGGCAGCTGATCGCCTTGCAGAAAAAAAGTGCAGCATCTGCACTTTTTGGTCCTGAGCCTTTTTGTGGGATAAGCAAATGTCACCTTGAGGAAGAACTCAGGAAATGGGAAGGAATTGAAAATTCCTCTTACTGGAGAGCAACACCAGGCCAACGACAAGCGAAAATGTTCATTAACCATTCGCAGAACCGAGCCAAAGAGCTACTCAGCCTCAGGGAACCAGAGCTAGAGCTTATAACAGGCTTCCTCACAGGACACGGCCCTCTGAGGTACCACCTCAGAAAGATGGGCCTGGCGTAGATTGACACTTGCTGCTTTTGTAACAATGCGACCGAAACCACGGAACACATACTTTGCTCATGTGAAGTATTAGTCCGCTTAAGGCCACTTAGAACAGGTCTATCTCACCCCTGCTGAGGTGGAAAATTCAACCGTCAGGAAAATTGTAGGCTTCATCACAAGTCTAGGGTTAGAGGACCGAAACTAGATAAGGGATTTCACAATAGATCTTCTAGGAAATGATCGAGAGGTCTCCCAGCCTATACGACCCATCTACAATCTACACCAAAGAACAAAGCACTTCATATTTCCTTGGATTGGCGAGAATGAAACGACGATAATTGATTTCACCACTCAATTTTGATATTGATATTTTCATTAAGCCGACCCCTGATGACATAAACAAAACAATTAAGCCGACGCCATCCACCTTGTTCCGCCTGTAAACAAAATGGATGCTAGGTTGATTTCGATACCACGTCATAGTCATGAACGACAGCTTGGGGGTTCTTGCCTATTCAGCAGAAGCGTTTTCAGGCAAGCAACTGACCCTACATTTTCGGGAGGCTGCGATATGACGACTAGCAGTCTAGATAGGGTAATGATAGTCTGTGATACACCCTGATTAACCTTTCTTTATATGATTATATTCCGAACATGGTTTTCACTACCTTTCCTTCCCCCAAAACTTTCAGTGTCTATGATAATATGATCGTTTTCATCTAAGCTACTCTAATATATATATATATAAAAAAAAAACTATTAATTGCCCAAACAGGTACAAGACCCACTTACAGGACAGCTTTTTACAATGTGTACATGTAACTGTGAACAATTACTAAAATCTAAATCTAAGAGCCAAATAAAGTATTTTTATAAATCATTCAGTATAGTTGTAGAAAGTGATTTCAATTGTAGATAATAATGATAATAATAAAAAGAAAACGGAGGGAAACATAATAACATGTATTAATGAATAACATATGAATAAAGAGGGATTTTTTCATATTTGCCTCGTAAACATCACAAGGTAGAAAAAATATGTTTTATTTCCTTTTTGAACACTCCAATGGGAGTTGAAAATATATCAGTTTTTTCGCATATCTGATTAAACTTTCTGCACATCGAATGAATTGGAGATTTCAATTGTATATTTGTTCTTGGAGTAGGTGAATAAAAACAAAGTGAAGTTCTACTGTTCAAACGAGGTATGTTGAAATTTAGTTGAGATAATAACTCTGGGCAATCAGTCAGGTTGTTTGTGAGTTTATAGATAAATATGCAAGAGTGGTAAGTTCTACGGTCCTCCAGAGACAATAGTGAAAATCTGTTTAATAATAAGTTATTATCTAAACCTTGTTCAGGATAAATTCCATCAATTCTATATGCAATATACTTCATGAATTTCCGTTGAATTGATTCGAGCAGATGAATGTGATTCAAGTAAATAGGAGACCAAATCAGCGAGCCATATTCTAAGCGTGATCTCACATATGAGGTAAAGAGAGCAATGAGGCTATCTTCATTTTTAAAGTCTTTGCAATTTCTGAAAATCAAACCAAGCATTTTTTTCGCTGCTGATGCAGTTTTAATAATGTGTGATGAGAAGCTCAATTTGGAATCAAAGTTTATACCAAGATCTTTTGTTACATCACACCTATCCAAAAAAACTTGATTTATTGAGTAAGTGTATTCTATTGGTTTGATTTTCAGAGTATAGGTAGTGTAATGACATTTCTGTATATTTAGGGGTAGTTTATTTATCCCACACCAAAATGCTAGACGGTCAATGTCATTTTGGAGTAACTCACAGTCATTATGAGATTTAATGACTCTGAATAATTCCAGATCATCAGCAAATGAAAGAATGTTGCTTGTTATATTCTCACCTATATCATTCACAAATAATGAAAATAGAAGAGGGGCTAAATTGCTTCCCTGAGGTGCCCCACTGATAGAAATGAAAGTTTGTGATTTATGACCACGGTATTCAACATATTGTGACCGATTACTAAGGTATGATTGAAAGAAATTTAGTAGGTTAGTGTCGAAGCCAAGATCATTCAATTTAGATACTAGTATTATATGGTCCAATTTATCAAAGGCCTTTGAAAAATCTGTGTATATGGTATCGACTTGAGACTGATTATCTATAGCATTGCTGATAGTTTGTGTGAAGCACATTAAATTGGTAATGGTTGATCTCTTAGATATGAAGCCATGTTGGTCAAGTGATATTTTATTCTTTACATTGGGAAATACTCTATTATAGATCGAGATTTCAAAAGCCTTTGCGAAATTTGACAATAAAGTGATGGGACGATAGTATCTTATTTGATTGATAGCTCCAGATTTTAATATTGGGCATATTTTTGACGTTTTCCAAACATCGGGAAATGTACATGTGTTTAACGATCTGTTATATATTATTTGGAGGGGTTTTGCAAAAACATAAGCACAATCTTTTATAAAAAAGCTAGGTATATTATCATAGCCACAGGTATGTTTGGATTTGAGTTTTTTCAGAGCAGCCTGGACTTCATCTTCACTTAATTTCTCAAGTGATATAGTTGGTGTATTCAAGGGTAGTGTATCATCTTCAATGATGTTATTATCATGATCCAGTAGTGTTTTCTTGAGAACGATCAAGATAATGACAATAATGCTCTAACCACAAGTCTAGGTATATCCCATGAGAAAAAAATGGGGTGTGAACTTTGTTTTCATTTTCACCTTGATTGTTATATCTAATGATAAGTGAGATTACCAGTTATTGTAGCACTGAACTGGGTTGCAGTTCCTGCAAACTTTCCTCTTGCACTATTCACCATTTTGTAAGCTTCTTGATTGGGAATAACTTTGAGACTACATTTCGAAATATCACAATGCTGCTCATTAATTGTAAAAGTGCAATTAAAAATAATATTCGATAGTCATCAATGTTGAAGGTCTTGCGAAACGATATTATGGATTCAATGAGACGCCATCATATCGAATATGTATGATTCGTTGGTACATTCTGCGATTCCAGTTGATATTATAATTATTCTAGTATGGTAACAAATAAATAATCCTCAGGATTCGACATTAATTTTGTTTCAATTGAACGATATTTTCCGAATATACAATGAAAGGTTTCGGCTATTTTAATAGGAACAGTATTGCTATATTATCCTAAACGAAAGGAGATAGAAAGTTGATTGAATCGAATAAAAGTAATTTGAACCTCTTCAATATGCCGTTGCACCAACTGGAATAAAATCATCCGTTCCTGAAATATTCTGAAATTTCTGAACATCGCTGATTATATTTTCATTCATTTCCTCAGTTAATATTCGGTGAAAAAAATTAGAATTCGTGCGATCAGGTATTTAATCAAGACAAAGGAGTAGAAATTATCCGAAAGATTCTATCTTCATCAGTTCCAGAGATATATTTTCCATTTTTTTCCTTATGGGCGCCATATTCGTTTTGAATACCATTCAATACGGCTAGAAATTTCTTTCACAGCCATGTATGACATGTCGACATGATCACATGAAACAGCGTCAAAAAACAATGAAAACCATTTTCTGCTAGTTGTCACTGCTCAAATTTGAACTGTCATACATTTTGAAATGTGGTGTGCCATGATAATGAGGAAGCAGAATCTTGCAATCGCTATGATTACAGTATTGATCGTTTTATGACATGAATGTATCTCGAATCATTTTGAAGTGTGTTTCCCAGAGTGATATGAATTCGAAAACGAAAATTGTAAAATGGTGCGTTATAGTGTCAGTAAAGAAAACGATATGTATGACGTTTACACTAGCTGTTATAGGAGAGCTGATAATAGCAGTCCGAGAATATGCTAGATTATACCCAGATACAAATTCGCCTTCAAGAAAAATATCTTATTCAATTCCAAGAAATTTAACAGAATTTGGATGTGTCTTCAAATAGCGAGGAAAATACCGTGTTAAGAATTCACATAATGAAATCAATGTGAAGGCAAAAGTAAATATCAATTCTGAACTTTCTTCAGTATCAATTAGTGACAAATGTGGAATAAGCGCAATGTAGGTTCGGAAAATTCTGAAAAAACAGGAGTACCACGACATGAAGTATAAAATCGTTCAAAAACTTCACCCTGGAGGTTCCAAGCGTATAGACTCACATTCTGCAATTGATACCAAGAAATGTTAAACGACCATTTTTGGTTTCAAAACATAATTTCCCTATTCGATGGTATATATAAATTTGGCGCCCATGAGAAAAACGAAATTTGCATGGTGAATCTTCGAAAATATTGATGACTATTCCACTCTTGATCTCGAGAACCAATAAGAATCGACCATTTTCACGGTTTCTTCTGTATTCTAGCGTTTTTTTTTTGTTCATTGAATTTTATCGGACTTGCTCTACCAATACAGAAGCCGAATTGACCCACACGTGACTACCAAACCTCGTTTATCAGCGATAAAATTTTGACATCGTGTCTGGTCAAGATTGCTTTGGATTCAAATCTGAGACAATAACATACTTCATTTTATTTACTTATAATTCGCGTTAGTGAGATATTTTGTACGAAAGGCGAGACAATTTTATTCTGGCTGGACGTTTCAAGAAAAATATTTTATTCAATTCCAATAAATTTTACAGAATTTGGATGTGTCTTCAAAAAGCGAGGGAAATACCGTGTTAAGGATTCACATAATGAAATCAATGTGTAAACAAAAGTGAATATCAATTCTGAACTTTTTTCAGTATCAATCAGTGACAAATGTGGAATAAGCGCAATGTAGGTTCGGAAAATTTTTAAAAAAACAGAAGTACCACGACATAAAGTATAAAATAGTTCAAAAACTTCACCCTGGAGATTCCAAGCGTAGACTCACATTCTGCAATTGATACCAAGAAATGTTAAACGACCATTTATGGTTTCAAAACATAATTTCATGGACATATCAAATATCATTCAGGAATAGTGGGATTATTGATGAAAAAAACCGAGAATCCCCATTTGACGCAGCAAACTAAACCCAAATTCGTTATAGTCTCAATATGTGGAATGGGATTATTGGAAACCAGGTTATCAGTCCCAAATTTATTGAAGGGAATTTTACTGGAATAGCCTATGTCGATTTGTTGAAAAAAATTATGGAAGAATTGTCTCTAGCAACCTTACATGATATCAAATGGTTTATGCAAGATGGTTGCGCAGCTCACAATTCTGCCTCTGCCCAAGATTTCTTTAATACCTACTTATTTCACAGATAGATGGATTGGGACGTATGGTCCTGTAAAGTGGCCTCCTTGGTCGCCTTGTCTCAATCCTCTCGATTATTTTTCATATGGATTCCTGAATAATGAAGTTTACCACATTGAAGGCAATTGCGTTGAGAAATTGCGACAAAGAATTACTTTGACTTTCAGAGATATAACTGCTGAATTTGTATCGAGTGCAATAGGACAGTTGCGTTCAAGAAACCAAAAATGTATCGAAAATAATGATGAGCACTTTGAACAACAATTAGTGAAGGTTTCTGTTCAGTGTTTAGCTCGGTCTTGAGTTGTGTTTTAGTTCAGTTATTTTTTATTATGAAATTAACTATCCATCAGTTCTTTGAATCGTTCTCTATATTTCATTGGTTTGTAAATGAACTTGCTCATCCTCACACACTGAATTTGTATTCAGATTTCTTTCCAAAGCAAATGAATTTCAGGTAATTATATCTTGTTGATTCAACGAAAAAAATTATGTCTTGGTTTTTTTCTGCCTTTTCCTCCTTTTTGCATATTGATGAAGCGTGTCATGAATGACTCAAGAAGTATGGATGCTTTAGTCATGACGACTGATATTCTGTTTTCTTATTATCATTAGAAAATGTAGAGCAGTTCAATGTTGAGCAGTGATAACCAGCAAACAATGTTTTTTTTTTTGTTTTGGTACTGTTTCATGCAATAATGTCAATATGTTATACATAGCTGTGAAGGAAAGTTTTTTCCCTATTCGATGGTATATACCGGGTGACACATGGTATCGGGCCACCCCTGTAACTTCTGCTTTCGTCATCGGATTTTTCTGAAATTCGGTACAGTTATATAAGCAATTATTTCGGATTTGATCACATTACAATCCAATATGGCGGACTTCCGGTATTTCTGGAAATGAAACACCCTGTATATTTTTACATATTCAAGTTCAACAGGTCGAAACAAGTGCAATCTTCATTTCAAATGCCATTTTTTCGAAAAAAATCAAATTAAAATTGTTTTTTCATTTTACCTCGTGGATAAATGAGATGTGGTCAAGACTATTCACAATGAGTCACACGTAACAGAAGAACATAATTTTTTCTGAAAAATTATTTTTTGTGTCACTTATCCAGGAATCAATTCAGCCACATCACTTTTTGATCAAAAATTATTTTTTTTCAAATGGAACCCCTATGGGCCACCTACCCGTCTCTCTAGAACATACATTAAGGAACAAAATAACATATCATTGTTGTTTTTCGGTGCTGTAACAAATTGTTTACATTCAAAAATCAACAACTAGTTTATGAATTTCCTTGCAGTTAGAATAATTTTTCAACTCAGTAGGCTGTGGAATAAATGACATTTGACATAAAGATTGCACTTGTTTTGACCTGTTGAACTTGAATATGTAAAAATATACAGGGTGTTCCATTTGAAAAAACAAAATTGCTGGCATTTCCAGAAAAACCGGAAGTCCGCCATATTGGATTGTAATGTGATCAAATCCGAAATAGTTGCTTATATAACTGTACCGAATTTCAGGAAAATCCGTTGACGAATGCAAAAGTTACAAGGGTGGCCCGATAACCTGTGTCACCCGGTATAAAGAACAAATTTGGCGCCCATTAAGAAAAATGAAAGTTGCATGGTGAATCTTCGAATATATTGATGATAGAATATTTCTGACAATTTCAACGTCTTCCTCATGATTAATTACCTATTAGAGCTAAATCCTAAATTTCTACCTCTAATATCAACGAACATTTCAAGAATATTTCAGGAACAACTGACATTTGTTCAGACTGCAAAACGTCATATTGATGAGGTTCAGATTACGCAACTTTTGTCATATTTTATCAACTTTCTATCTCTTACCGTTTAGGAGGATACTGTCCCTATTTAATCGTCCAGGCCCTGTATATAATAATAGAATATATATACACTATTCCTATTTTTTGGGAATTTCTCTACTCATTTCTATAAAATAAAAATATGATTATTATTTCAATATACGTGTAGTAAGGACAAATCAGATGATTTGCCCCAAAATGTCACTGCTTACAAAAAAAAATCCTATCAGAGAGCCTAAAAGAAAAATTCACTAGCTTGTCAGTGACAATTTGTATTGAAAAAAAATTGGAGAAAAGAAATAAAGGTATATAGAAAAAAACCGAATTTTCACTTATCTTTGGACGTTTCGGGACCGATTCTGTTCCCGTTTTCAACATGAGATATGATTAATTCAATAGCTAAGTCGTATTCGAAATAATCATATCTTATGTTGAAAACGGGAGCAGAATCGTTCCCGAAACTTCCAAAGATAAGTGAAAATTAGATATTTCCTCCATATACCTTTATTTATCTTCTCCGTTTTTTTTTCAATACAAATTGTCATGCACTGACAAGCTAGTGAATTTGTTTTAGGCTCTCTGATAGGAAAATTCTTTAAACGCAGTGACATTTTTGGGCGAATCATCTGATTTGTCCTTACTCCACGTATATTGAAATAATATCCATATTTTTATTCTACAGAAACGAGGAGAGAAAATCCCAAAAAATTTGGAATAATGAATGTACCACCTCCTCG